GAAAATACATTAACCTCAAATGGACACAAGTCGTCCTCCCTTCTATTAACGCCCATACTACCATAGTTAACGTTTGGGTGAAATCAAAATGAATTGGTTTGATTCAATGTCCCTGGATGGGAAAAAATCCCGCCAGATAAACCTGCGAAAGCGTCGAAGGAAAAAGTTGGTTAAAGCAATCGTGTATATGTAGGCGAACTTCAATTACAATAACGTTAGAACCATGAGGTGCAAGACTATAAGTAACTTTGTGCATTTCATGACCTGAACTAAGGTAAAAAACACAAGTACAACTAAATAAAGTTAGGAAAGAGTAGCCTACCATCCAGTAGTGACTTTTCTCAATCTAGAGGGATTCACACGATAACCGCATTCCTCGTGAATTTCGCCGACCGCTGTCTCTTCCAGTGTAGCGTCCGCCTTGTCAACAATCCCGGCACAGAGTTCCAGCGTCTCACCTTTTGAGGATGAGAGGTGAATTGGCTTTCCATCGGCACCGATCGGAGTGTGAGGCACTGCATCAACATCTGTTACGTTTTCTCCCTCGAGGTTACGTAGTAAAGCGTAGAAAACGACTATATGTGTGAGTAAAAATTGCGTAAGCATTTAAAACGTTTTAAAATATGACCGGAACACCATTTACCTGGACGAAACTGTTTTACGAAAACAAAGCTCTCCCGATCCTTATTATAAATGAGAATCGAGACTCTAAGATGAGCAGCAAAATAAAATACCACGAGAAAACAAACCCATTGTGAGCCTTCACTCCGTCCCAAAATCGGTTTACTCCGTTCTAATTAAGAAGAATAGGCATTACAATGACAATACCTTTCGGTAGTGTATACGAAAAGGTGTGACATATTTGGATTTCTCAGTCAGCGAAGAAACTTCGAAGTTCTCGATCAACGCCATCGACACACACGACTTTAGGAACCTGCGGAAATGCCCTCGGACACACCAAGGGAGGAAATGAGGACTGGCCAGAAGAAGCCGCCTCGGCGTTAACCAGTGACAGCCCAGCACTTGCATCCAATTTTAGCCAATCGTGTGGTGGAGAAACATAATGCAGACCTTCTTCGTGAAGCTCAATGGTTAAACGAACGACAGTAGGAAAAGCAATTACAAGGGTAAAACTGGTCCCGCACATGCTCTTCAATTCGATGGCTTGTACCAGTGAAGCTACGATACAATATGCAACCGTAGATAGGATTAGCGTCAGCTGTTGAATAGTGTAGAATAGAAATATGATAAAACTTATTACAGATTTAGTAAAATAAATGTAATATAACTAATCTCCAGGCTATAGAAGAGCAATTGTGGCAGAACGAGAGCGGAATTCTCTAATTACCCCACCGAGTATGGTTGATGTAAATACTCCAGGGACTAAAAATTTCACTTTAGAAGCTATTAAAACTGTTAATTTCAGTGATCGATTATTATTTTCTAAAAACATCACTAAGCTTATAGAGCCAAATATAACATGTTGTAATAAACCCTAATTACTGATAATATTACAAAAATTTTGCCGATTAACGGTTCTTTTGCTTGTTTTACTGCACATTCACGTTAATTTTCTAAGTCGATATTTGATCAATAGTATCTATTTTGAAGGTTGATGGAGAACTTGGGATGTCTGCAGGTACCTCTGGAATAAGGATCGATCCAATTTTGGTAGATAGCGTCCTTTCCCACAGCAGAAGCAACTGCTGCCATTCAGGATGTATGTCCCATTTCCCGGACGCATATTCATTTCTAGACCGTTAATGGAATTTTGGGAAACAATGAATTCGACTCCTCTAAAATAAGTCCATGGACTTCTGATATTATTGACCAATGTCTTCTACATCTAGCAGGATTAAACAAACCCTTTAAATACATAGGTTTGTGGCTATCTTTTCGGCTACCCCCACTTCAGTTACATGCGTTATAATGCAGAAAGAGCATAGCAGTTTACACTCAGCTAGCTCTTGTTATTGGAACGAAAACACTGATGGTATGGTATTCCTTACGCAAACATCTTTGGTTATACAGGTTCATGTACAGTGAAGTGGGAGAATGCATCGATGTTCTGCATCGTGACATGCTTCGGTCTTTCAATTTAATAGCAATGCCATCTATTTCTTTTAACCGGCCTTAATTCATATGATTTCCTATCATTATTTTGAAATTACAAACCTTACGTGTGTAATTCAATCGCAATAGAATATTACAACTAATTTATTTCATTTTTGTGTCTGATTTGAGAGCTTGGATAAGGGTGGTTTGTCATTACCGTCCAATTTTGTGTATCGGTTCTTTTTATAAGCCGTTTTTTAGTATTTTAAAGCCTCCTCCTCAGCGCCGAACAGTAAGCGATAAACCCTGTTTATGCTTAACTTCAAGCAATTTTCAAGTTGAACAATTTGCAGGCTTTCGTAAAGTGGCTTTCCTTATTTACCCTTTTTTGGTCTGGTGAAGGTAACGAAAATAGGGCAGGCCTCGCAAATTGAGGGATTATAGGATACCACACTCCATTCATTGCAAAGCAGTTCTTTTAAAGGGTATACGATTTAACGTAATCACAGAAACGTTACTTTTGTTGGTCGCTTCCATGTTCCGCATGTTAGTGGATACATGATTATGCCACTGAGGAGAATCGTCCCACCACAAGCGGCGAATGAGATGTCATAGGATCTCGTGCTGTCATACAACCAACCTAGTTTGAAGGGAACGAATTTAGATTACTTTTGACCTGATCTAATGGTGTTGCCAATGTTTTTACTGTAACGTTATAGTATGCACCTGCTATCGGAGGTCCAACAATGACTGCAACACCCATTATAAGGAGGCTCAGTCCGAAGGAATCCTTGAGGAACTCGATGCCCAGAAGATCCACCAAAAGCACGGAAAAGAGGGTCACGTAGGATCCTATGAAAAATCCAATTTAAGTGCAAAGATCGTCCTCTCGCGGAACGACTTACACGCATTATACTCACCACTGAAGAATCCAAACGCCAGGTTATAAGTGAGCATGAGTGGATACTCTACTGCCCAGCAGCTGATGGTCGTGATGAGTCCACATATCACAAGAGAACTGTTGTAGAGGTGTAGCCTTATCCGTACACGCCGGGTCATCGCTAGTGCACCGAAGACTACTCGACCTAGTGTGTTTCCAATCCCAATGGCAGCCACTAGAAAGCTGGCACGACCCTCTTCAACCCCTTTCTGAAT